TGTCAGTAGGAATCCCATTCAACAGCAGCCTCTGGCTGGGTCGCCGCTTCGCGGTTCACCGCGGCTGGTAGGTGTTTTTCATCTAAATAATCCAAACTGCAGGCTGCGTAAATAAAAGCGAACATATTCTGTTGGCAGGTTTCAGCATTTTAAGTTAATTTATGCGTCAATAAACTGTTTCAGAGGAGTGATCACAGCGCTCTGTGTCATCAGCGATGTGTCTCTCTCTGCCAGCTCCCAGATCAGCTTCTCTGATTGGTTGATGCGGCGCATTGAGCAGCAAAAGTTACATTTTTCCATCTCGAGCAGCAGCGCGTTTGTGGTGCGTTGCGCTGCTTCAGCTACTCAGACGCGCTAAAGGACCTTTTTCTGCGCCTTGACGCGCGTCAACCATTGACTTTGCATGTAAACTAGCTGCTCCTGCTGCGTACGGTGTGAACGTAGCATTAGTCAGATTTGCGTTTATCCCTTTAGTTTTGTACAAATAATACATTTTAAACTACCTCAATGGGCGTGTATCCCTTTAGTCATGTACAAAAAAACTATTTATGGTCAGATTGCAATACGCTTTGAAAAAAAAAAATGTATATATATATATATATATATATATACTTTGAGGAAGTTGACCTCAAAGAAAGAGGTGTTTGAGGTCTTCCAAAAATAAAAGCCAAAGCATTGTGAAACAAAGTCCTGTCAGTTAGAGTAAGCCTTTGTGAGGGAAATTCTTTTCAGAAACCTGAAAAATCCTATCTGAGCCACACCAGTAATTGTAGAATCTGTAATGTATCTAATAAAACCAACTGGTTATTTCTTGCACTGCTGAGTTTTACCTCAGACTGAGTTGATAAATCTTGGTTACTCTGGCCAGGAAGGTTCTCATCTGTGAATATTCCCAGATAAGTGCTACAGTGCAATTTATAGCATAATGTTACACATTGGTTTACAAACAATAAATTATGTTGAAGCTATCGAAAAAATTAATGCGTGATAAAAATAATTTTTTGCCACTGATTCCCATTTGTGTCTTATCTCTTGTCTGCAGAACTGCCCATGCAAAGGGCAAGTCGGACGGCGCTGAACAGGCTGCCCAGGCCTCCAACAGCGAGTCCAGTATTGCCAGACTGGTTGCCAAAGAGCTGTCGCCTTCTTTCTATCAGCCAGGTCAGTAGATAACATCTCTTATCTACTCACTAACTATTTTTCAAGTCATAATTAGCTGCATTAGCCGAGTTTAGCACACTTGACATGTCAGTTACCTTGAGTTCCACTTTGTCGTCACTGGATTGAGTTTTTACAAATAAAAATACGCATAACTGTGAAGTATAGAAAAAAAAGTCATGTTTTTTTATTGAACATAAAAACTCCCAAAGGTTTGTGTTCAGGTTTGTATTTTGTACTGATGTTCAACTTAATGCTGTGAAATAATGTATGAATTTTTATATACTGGCTGAATCCAGACTGCATCCATCTAATCAGAGAAACACGCATTATGTGGTTCAAACTGTCTGGGTAATTATTTTTGTGTAACAGCTTCACAGAAAAAAAAAGACACTTGATTAAAAACTATATTTACTTTATATTTATATCCTGCTTTGTAATCCAGGGCAGAGAATTTAGCAGCTTTGCTCATGGGTTATTTATTAGCTGTGGGAAAGCGGAGTGGGTATCCTCTCTGCCCTTTTTGCTCTGACTTCATGCGGGGCTTTTGGGACGAGGCAGCTGCCTGTGAGACAGCGCTGAGGGAAGCAGTGAGACAGTAACTGTAGTATGATTGCTTTATTAAATGCCTCAGGTAACGTTGTGCTTTGGAGTGCGGAGCGATTTTTCAGTTGCTATCGCTTCAGTTACTCAATATTGGAGCTGATATCCAAAGTGGGTATCCAATCGCAGCGTCTCTAACTCTGACTGTCCTTTAGGCTCAAACCTAACAAACATGTATGGTGGTTAAGATTCTAAAGTTAACTGGGAGTTTTTTTTAAACCAAAAGAGATGAGGTATTGCTAATCTATTAAGAACGTGCATACCTCCTTGACACTCTATTCTGTTGTCAAGGTATATACTTGGTCTCTGCTAAGGTCTCACCAACAGATAGTAGAACCTAAGGTCTAAAAACAGGAACATCCTATCCAGTCCATGGAATTGGATCAGTTTCAGTACAGCCGTGTACCCCCCCACACACCATCCCACACAAACACACACACATACTCGTTCTGCTATATGTAGTGAGGACCATGTGATGAATTAACCTGACTCCGCCAGATGGATTTGCTCCGCATATCCATCTGGAAACCTTCCGTTGAAGTAATTTTGGGAAGGGGCGAAAATACTGGT